CCCCCCCCCCCCCCCCAATCGGTTCTCCAAATTGGGGTATACATCTTTAACTGGGAGGCTGATGTCTGTGCTGGAATAAAAGCACAGGGATGCTGTAACAGCTGCTAGAGCTCTGCTATTTTCTATGGCTGTAGAGAGGGAGGAGGTAAAAGAGGGCACTCCGCAGCACCATAGTTTTAACCTTTCCGTAGCATCTGCTTAATTAGCAGTAGATTTTGCCCAACCAGCCAAAAACGGCTGCTGCTAATGTGCCTGGCTATGACAGGGCTAAAACACTAGCTTTTGCCTGAGTAGCTATAAACAGGATTCAGCCATGACTGGAAAAAGATTGTATTCCTTTTATTCTGCCTTTCCAAAACAAGGTATGTTGGTCTCTGATGATATGCTGGTGCTAATTCTGTAAGGTCCTTTGGCAAGTGGGAAAGGTAAGCTGCTTTTTCCCCCCTCTTGGGATAGTGAAGGTCTCTTCTGTCTTTATTCTAATGCTAGATGAGCTTTGATCCAAACCTTCTCCACAACAATGGACACAACGGCTACCCCAACGGTACTTCGGCAGCACTGCGTGAAACGGGGGTTATTGAAAAACTGCTGACCTCGTATGGCTTCATTCAGTGCTCGGAACGGCAAGCTAGACTGTTCTTCCACTGTTCGCAGTACAATGGCAACTTACAGGAGCTTAAAGTAGGAGGTAATCTGTCAACTGATAAGTGCTCCTCCCCCTGCCCCTCTTAATTTCATGTTCAGAGCATAATCTTCTAATTTGCAACTCTGTGCAATCCACCACACTTACAGGACCATATAGTTGTTTACAGTTGAATCTGAAGTCTGCAGCTGAGAGGATCCTGCTGTAATAACTAGGGCTTATGCCTTTTTTGCTAGCAGTGCTGTTGTGGCTACACTCAGAAGGTATTAGATGGGATAAATTTATGTGGTCAGGGTGAAAAAATAAGATAAGCAGTGTCTCTGATTCATGAGGTGTAGATTTCCTGGGTACAGTTTAACAACTTCCTTGAGCATTACTGATCATGTTTTAGTACAGGAAGCATGGTCACTTTTCTGCTCCTGCTGGATATGGCATTAAATGTCTAAAACAGGATGTCATGACAAATCTCTCACGAAACCTGGCATAGTTTAGTGTTATGAGGCCAATGGAGGATCAAGCAGAGGAGCCAGGGGCAGATCTTTAAAACAAACCAGTCATTAAGAGACCAGTTAATCTGTGGTGGTAAAGAATTTAATTTCTGGTACTCAGACAAATGTGAACTAATAGATGTTGTTGCTTCGCGTAATCATGTGGAACTTCAGAGTCTGAATCTCTTGTAGATGATGTTGAATTTGAAGTCTCTTCTGACCGCCGAACTGGAAAACCCATTGCTGTTAAATTGGTGAAGATAAAGCCAGAAATCTTACCTGAAGAGCGAATAAATGGACAAGTTAGTGGCTATGTTGTTTAATCTATGTGCACATCATTTGCATCCATTTTATTCCAATTCAAAAGGACATATGCATGCTAAATGTGGTTACATTTTTCAGTTAAATTGGAAGAAAAAAAAAATTTGGGTTTTGCCAAATGGGTGAAAAACAGAAATTCAGTTTGGGGTTTTTATCTAATCCTAGCCACTTCTTGGTCTACAGAAGTTCTGTAAGTGTGAAATTCTGCGGCATGGCCTCCTCTTTCGGATTATATTTAAAGTGCATCCCTGAGTGCAGAGTAGAGGATATTTAAAATTCAGTTTGTATTGCACAGTGGTGCTTCTGGAATGACTAGCAATGTTTTTTTGTACTGGTAGGTTGTGTGTGCTGTTCCTCACAATTTAGAGAGTAAATCTCCAGCTGCCCCGGGTCAGAGTCCTACAGGGAGTGTATGCTACGAACGTAATGGGGTAAAACTCACGTATTTTATTTAAACTCTTGACTGATCCACCAGTGTGGTCTAAAAACAAATACTTGGCACGGTGTAAAGTAGATAGCTTAATCAAATCTAAAACTTTTCTCTAAAAGTGCAATTTTATTAGAGATATGGAAACAGCATGCCTGTATCTTTGTCAATGTATTTGGCAGTAATATCTTTGAAGAATTAAGATATGTAGATACAGATTCTTTCTCTTAAAATCATCAGCTGACTTAATGTCAATTAATGTTAACTATTAGCATTTTTATTTTTTTGGATTTAATTTTTTTTACCTTTTTGGAACCTGACTTAAATGTGATGGTAGCACTGTACAAATCTTTCAGCTTCTCAAGTAGCTGGGTATGGATTTGCCAGAACCAGCAGCACCGAGAAAGCAAAACATTTTTGCATGCAACACTTTAACTCTTCCCAGCTTTTCACAACACGTTTAAAGTTCAATTTAAATAATGAATTGTTTTTAAAAAAGGCTGCAATTTGCAACTAGATTAATGATGGTGAATGCTAATTCACAGGAAGTGTTTTACCTGACTTACACACCTGAAGATGTTGAAGGGAACGTACAGCTAGAAACTGGAGATAAAATAAACTTCGTAATTGACACAAATAAGCAGTAAGTGACGCTTTCATTTCCTGACTATACTCTACCCTAATGGTCAGGGATGTACTTAAATTGCGCCAGAAGTGCACTGCACTGTGGCTCCTTTATTTCTGATCTTTTTGCCACATGTTCCTCCCCTCCCCTCCCACTGCCCCTGATTGGCAAAGGGGCCCCACCACTTGCTTCTGATCAGCCAGGAGACAAAAAGCATAGCATACTTAAAATTGTGGTTTCTGCCTCCCAGCTGATCAAGGGCAAGCAGCAGAGCCACTGGGATCCCTCAACCTCAATGGGCACGTGGCAAAAAATTCGCTAAAATTTGAAATTCTGATTGTACCTCTTTTTTTTCTCCCCTCCACCTTTGCTAGTACTGGTGCTGTAAGTGCTCGTAACATCATGCTTTTGAAAAAGAAACAAGCCCGTTGTCAAGGAGTAGTTTGTGCCATGAAGGTAAGTGGCACTTAATTCTTAATTTTAAAAACTAGTTTGAGGAAGTGGTGTTTATGGAGTAAAATGGGCCCTTGGAACAGTACAGGACTAGGGTACAAACATGTTTTTCGTACAAGAATTAAGTTACCCGAGGTGGTTATGTTGAATGTTTTCTTTTTATTCTTTTGTCCTTGTCTTCTGTTGTCTTTTAATTTGAAAAATACAACTTATACCTATGATCTAATCATTGCAAATTATCTGTGAATACTTAAAGCTCGATAGCTTTTTATTTGACTTTTTCTTTCTTTGTTGGTATTTTTAAAAGTTTGTTTTGTATCAGTCCAGAGTAGGAACCTGTTGTCTTGGTAATTAGGTAGTTTGACTGTTTGCTAAATATTTTGTGTTCTTCTCTTAGGAAGCCTTTGGATTTATTGAAAGAGGTGATGTCGTAAAAGAGATATTCTTTCACTATAGTGAATTTAAAGGTGATCTAGAAGCCTTACAGCCTGGTGATGATGTGGAGTTTACAATCAAAGACAGAAATGTAAGACCAAAGCCAGTAAAACTGAAGAGAAGATTCTAGTACTTAACTGTAAAAATGTGTTTATTCTGAAATGTCTTGGTTTTGTTTTTTTTGTTTTTTTTAAAGGTAGTAACATATACATACAAGTTTCCAGTTATTTATATTTGTTTTCCTTATGAGTGCCACTCATTTTCTGCCCGTAGGGTAAAGAAGTTGCAACAGATGTAAGACTATTGCCACAAGGGACTGTTATTTTTGAAGATATCAGCATTGAACACTTTGAAGGAACTGTAACCAAAGTAATCCCAAAAGTACCCAACAAAAATCAGGTAAACATCGGTATTTCCTTGAAATTCTCACGTGCAATAATTAATCTTTCAACACTGGTCAAAATAGCAGAACAGCTTTCTTGTATTAAAGATTGTAAGTAGCTGCTGTCTGCTGCTTCTAGGTTCTGTTCTGATGTGTAAGAAACTGATGTTGAGTGCAGCTGAGTCCTTATATCCAACAGCTTACCTAAAGGCTCTAGCATCTTAGCCCTGTAACCATTTTTAAAACTAAATTGACGCTTGCTATACACTAATTATATATAGTTACTAGAAGGGAAGTTTGAAGAGAGAATTAAGGTGACTGTTTTACAGTTAGAAGGTAGTTGCTGCTTGTCAAGTTATGAGTTGGCATCATGGAAACGTAAACTAAGGAAGTTCAAGACAGTAGGTTTTCCCCTCCCACCCCCCAAGGGGTGAAGGAAAATGAAAAGTGAAGATCCTTTCTTCATCTGTTAGACTGAAGTAGAGAAGGGGAATGCGCGCATGGTAAACAAAGCTAGTTGGGCATCATTTAAAGTGGTAAATGCACACCTTGCTCAACTTGATGCTTGGCTTGGAGTAAGATTTAGCAGAGGCAGGTTGCGTGCCACCTTTCGGCACAGCTTTATATTTGCTGCCGCCTTGTTTGTCCAAGAACTTGCGGGTAATTGGGATACTCTGTTTGACACTGAGACCTAAAAGACTTCTAGCTTATTGATATCTGCCCCCAACAGCAAAACTTCTCCGTTTAGAAAACAGCAATGTGGGATTTGAATGGGGGAGAGGTCTTTCCATTTTTTACGGCTGCCTTGCTGTAATTCTAGACCAGTTGTGTCAGCTCTGTGCCAGACTGCCCCATGTGCAAGACCATGACTATATAAACAACCATCCCATTTGAGGCATTCCTTTTATTGTCGTGTGTGTTAAGTCAGATCAAGATGCACATAGATGCACACACAGACCCTCCAAGCTGTATTGCTGCCCCTTTGCCAGTAAGTGCCCAGTGAGGGCGCACAGCCTGACAGGCTTACTCTGGAATGACTGGCAATGATGTTAAATGAGCCATGAGTAACTTGCACAACACTTGCGGGAGGCGAGGGGTGTTGCATGTGCTTTCTCTCTCTCTCTCTCTCTCTCTCTCAAGTAACTGATACTTAAAAAGGTACGTCTGCAGCATCCCAGGCCTCGTGGCTGTTGAGGGGAAGGGGGTGGATATGATGTCTTTTTATACACCAAGGGGAAGTACTTCCCATAAAGTACTTAGATCTCTGAATGAAAATGTAAAAGTAGCAAACTTTTTGCAGGCTAGACCTGCTTTAAGATTTTACTGTGCTCTTACAAAGGAAACTAGTGCTGTAATTTTACTTCATGGTTCAGTCTAGAGTTTGGGAAGAATGATTAGTTAATCTAAAATTTACCCTTTCCATGCAATCACCAGAACGACCCGTTGCCTGGACGCATCAAAGTTGACTTTGTGATTCCTAAGGAACTTCCGTTTGGAGATAAAGATACAAAATCCAAGGTCACGCTCTTGGAAGCTGACCATGTTAGATTCAACATTTCAACAGATCGACGTGACAAACTGGAACGAGCCACCAATATTGAAGTTCTTCCTAATACTTTCCAGTTTACTACTGAAACTAGAGAAATGGCAAGTATTTGATTTAAGCTATAGATTTTTGAATACTTGAGCATAGGCTGGGCAAAAAGGAGGTGGAATGTGTGATGGCTTTATCAGTATAGTCTGAGAAGGTTTTATTTAAACACTTAATGAGGGTGATGTGTCCTAGGGAATCTCACCGCATCTTCACTGAAGGGTGATTCTTATAAAAGGAACGTGGAGCATCTAAAGTGGATGTTCATTTGTGTTCTCTTCTGTAACTACTGTTGTTTTAATTGCTTATTCTAAATGAAATATGAGCATATGTGTACATGCATAGTGACCTCAGCTGGCTCTTTCTCAAACCAGAACATGAGTTTTTGTGGCTTTATCTTCAGGGTGCCTATTTAAAATAGCATCCTGATTATCAGTAAAACTAATGGCAACAGTTTCAATACTGAGTAACTGGGAGTACACCTCTTCAAGAACAGATTGGCTCTTTTTGGACTTTAGACTAAACAGTACTTGTCCTTTTTTAAGAATCAAGCAAGCCCCAAGTCAGTCAGGTTCAGACTGGGGTTTATAGGAGCTGTTCTGAATGCTGTCTTTATTAGCGTACATGCCAAGGAACAGATGTCTGGATTTAAAGAGCAGACCTGCAGCAAGATTTTACCTTGCTCTTAGAAGTTCTTGTGAAGACTTCTGTGACTCAGGCTCTATGTACATGGGACATCTTAACTGAGATCTGGTGGAAGGGTGAGATTTGAGAGGATTTTTTGATCGTAGGACAGCTTGTATTAGTGACTTCAGTAACTCTGACTTTTATGTGGCCAGCAGTACTAGAGAATGTCTGAAGAAGGGACAACTTGTGTTCTCTTAGACAGATGGTTAGGCATGCTAATCTGAAGTTAGCAGGGGGCAGGGTGGCACTTCAAAAACTAACTCACTCATTCTTTAAGGTGCTCCCCTGGCTCCTCTTCTGGCATTCCTTAAGGGAGCAAAGGAAGAATTAGTAGGTGCTTTCAGCACAGATTAGGGGTCTTGTGGAGATGTGCCTTGATCCTCTAGGGGAAAATGTTAGTGGTGACGGAGAATACTTTGTTCCACCTGTCACAAGATGGCATATTTAAAGCATCAGGGAAGAGTGCTGTTCAGATCAAAGCCTTAACATCTGACCTGTATAGTTTACAAAAAAGATGAGGTCTGGTGTCCCTGCACAGAATTTCTACAATAGGTGACTTCTGGACACTTCCGAGTCTAGAAGTAGGCTGGTATTTGCAGCTTGTTTCAGGTTGTGGCAGTTTAACTTAGCTGAACCACTCTGCAAGAGGTTTCATGCTGCTATTCTGTAGCTGGGAATTGGAGAAAAGAAGAAAGGTGGACCTGAATTGTAGTTCTTCTAACTGGTGTGTAGGTCTGTACTTACGCTTCCTTCATCTTCACAGTGAGAGACTTATTAGGTGGGTCACTTCAGAACTTCTTCTGCCCTTTGGTTTGAGCACTACAATTTGTAAGGGAGTACATGCACATACTATCTCCGTAGGGCTGTTTGTGCACAAGAGGCACTATGCATGCAGCTGCCTTTCACTGGCTTGAACCATGTATTTGTCTGTCCCCAGGGTGTGATTGCAGCAATGCGAGATGGCTTTGGTTTCATTAAGTGTGTTGACCGGGATGCCCGCATGTTCTTTCACTTCAGTGAAATCATGGATGGAAACCAGCTCCACATTTCAGATGAAGTAGAGTTTACTGTTGTCCCTGTGAGTAAAATTGCCTGTTCTAAAAATGATGGCTGTTTAAATGTCAATACCCACGCATTCTCTAAGCTACTGTGAATTTGTTCTTCAGGACATGCTGTCTGCCCAAAGAAATCATGCTATAAGGATTAAAAAGCTTCCTAAGGGCACAGTGTCATTCCATACACAGTCAGATCACCGCTTTGTGGGCACCATAGAAAAAGAAGCCACTTCTGCCAAAGCCACTAGCCCAAATAAAGGCAAAGAAAAGGTAATGCTGGTTTTGTAGACGTAAAATTAATTTTTGTGGTTTTGGAGGGTTGAAAACGTGTAGAAACTGGAGCCTTGATTCTGGATATACTTGCCTGTTTATGAGCAATAAATCTGCATAACTAATAAAAAATGTCTAGCTAAAAAGGTATTTGACTGAAACTTGAGTAATGAAGGCACAACATATGGTATGGTAATCGTTGAGGTTAGTGTTTAGGAGCCTCAGGTGAAAGTGCTAGGTAGCTGATGCTGTTCAGGATACTGGAATTTACAGAAATGAAGTCTATGGCTAAAGCAAAGACCTGTGCCTTTTGAGTGTCAGTTATTTGTGTAGTTTTAAACAGTGTGCACATTAAAAAGCATTCTGTTGAAATTTCAGAATACCAATACACTTTGTAAACTTAAAAAAAGCTGCCTTGGTAAAAATGGAGTTGGTTATTTGAATTACTCCATTTGGGTTCTTCCTCTAAGGTTTTGAATTATGAGTGTCATTTAGTTAGCGGACAGATCCTGTGGAATTTTTGTTTTTACATTAACTGGTGTTAAGCTGAAGAAAAAGGTAATTTGTGTCTGTTTTTCTAACTGACTTGTGCTGTTTGTCTTTAGGAAGCTGAAGAGGGAGTAATTGCTTTTGATGACTGTGGAGTAAAACTGACCATTCCTTATCAGGCCAAGGATGTGGAAGGATCTACTAATCCTCAAATAGGAGATAAGGCAATAATACTTATATACATACACTTGGTCCCTTTCTGTGGGTTATTTAGTGTGAGCTTTGCTATAACTATGACAGGCTGGTGGTCTAAAAGGGTGGGGAAGACGGCTAGAGAGGGAGCTATGACCTAGAAGACAGCCCACGTACAGTAGGGAGCTGCTTCTGGGTGGACGGGGGCAGGGAGTCCCCCAAAATGCCTGAACTGCAGTGGGCTGAATTGTGGCCCTTAAACTCCTTTGACGATAGAGGCGATTACTGGTCAGAGAGAAACAGTGGGGGAGAGCTGCTGCCCCTGCCTTATTTGGAAGGGTCAAGGGAACTGATATGGCATGCCACCCCTTGGCTTCTCTTGAGCTCACTGTTTTGAATGGAACAAGGAGTTGAGAATTTTTATAATGTTTGGGCAGACATCTGAGATTCCTCCTCCTTCAGGATGTTCATTATGCCACCCAGGAAAAACTTGCATTTGTCTGCCTGGCTTTTGAGAAACCTCCCTCTAACAGGTCGAGTTCAGTGTCTGTGAAGTGAAGAGAACTGGTCTGCAGACAGCTGTTTCTGTCAGAATGCTTGGTCGCAACTACAGCTCCAAGAGGCTTGTAGGGTATGTGGCAGCCCTGAAAGATAACTTCGGGTTTATTGAAACAGCCAATCATGATAAGGAGATCTTCTTCCATTACAGGTGAGTATTTTCTTCTGTGCAGATGTGTTGACCTGTTTTCTACACTTAATGTGCACACGGGTCCATTCATCTGAAAAAAGTGGCTTTCTGTAACCATTTTTGATAGGGCCACAGCAGGCTTTACTATTATTAGCCACTTAGGTGTTCCAAGATTCATGCTACTAGAGGACTGTGTGTTTGCATTGTTTTGTTAGTCACGGCTTAGGCAGACTAGGGCTTTCCTGGTACAAAGATACACTTGCATCACTTAGAGGCTGTCCCTTAACAGTAATAGGAAAGACCTGTTACTCTTCTGAGTCGCTTCAGTCAACTGAAGAGATGCAATGAGAAGTGTAGGACAATAGAACAATAACGTGACTTGGTTTAGCTTCCAAAAACAGAACATTGAACTCCCCAGGAAGGCAAAAGTGACTTCAGGGAATTAGAAAAGCTCTTGGGGTTGGGAACATTCTTTTTAATACAGTGGGTATGTTTGGTGTGGTGGTCTCTGTGCAGGTTCAGTTTTTTTCAGCTATGCTAACTTAAGACATCATGGATAAGTAGTTAGAAACTTACCGTGCATTTATCATGATTTTTTTTTTAATTACTTGGGATATGGATTTTGCTCAAAGGGGCTAGTAATCCATAACCTTGACTGCTGGTGCTGGCTTTGATGGAAAGCATATGGTACTCCACTCCAGTGAATAGATTCATAGATGAATTGCTGCAGGATAAAAATGGCATTTATGTAGCATTGTCAAGGCACTGAGCAAGCCCTTGCATCCAAATCGTAATCTCTTAAAAATACTAGTTAGTAATTAAGAGGTAAGGTAACTAGAACAGAGGTCCTGATTATTCAGCATAGATGCTGAGTGGGCAGAGCTGTTAGGTTAGCACACGGCTGAACTAAAACGTATGTAACTTCTTCCCTGCAGTGAATTCTGCGGTGACATTGATAGTCTGGAACTTGGGGATGCAGTCGAGTATAGCTTATCAAAAGGCAAAGGAAACAAAGTCAGTGCAGAAAAGGTGAACAAAACGCATGCAGGTAAGGCTAATTGTGAACTTCTCCCTGAACAGTTTCTGGGGTGGATGAGCAGTCTTGTGGTCTGCTTGGATCAAAAGTGCCTTTGCTCCTGATGTATTTATTGGGCCTATAATTCCACTGCTCTTGAGTGAGCTGTAACTCGGACTTTGCTGTAAAGTTTCCAAGAAAACTAAAGTAAAAACACTGAATACTGCTTTGGACACCGTTTGCAGAGTTTCGGTGGTTGTCCTGCTGTAGAGTTCAAGTTCCTTGGCTACATTGTAAGTGTTTGAAATGCTTCAGGACAACTTGCACTCGCTCTCCTAATTAGACTGCCATGGGCTAGAGCAGGGGTGGCCAACCTGTGGCATGAGTGCCACAAGTGACACGGGCAGCCCCCATGTGGCGCACAGCTGATCAGGTGAGGGGACAGGCAACACAGAAGCAGAAGGCAGAGCAGGAGACTGGGCAGAGGAAGGGGATTGGAGTGGCTCTTGGGGAAGGGGTTTGGCGGCTATTTTGTGGTACACCTGCTGAAAAGGTTGGCTCCCACTAGACAAGAGTAAGAATCCTTTGGCTTCTGAATTGCTGTCCAGATGCCAGAAACTTCTGGATACTTGGTTGGCACTTGGCTGTCCCCTGCAGAATACAGTATTTCAAACTTGCTGCTAAATAAAGAGCAGCTGTTTTTTGTTGAGTTGCTGGGAGTTGTGCAGACTGGCGGGGCGGGGGGCACAAAGCTTCCATACAAAAACACTGCGCAGAACAAATGTAACAGGTCAATTCTTGTCTTGCAGTGAATGGTATCACTGAGGAAGCTGATCCAACTGTTTACTCGGGTAAAGTGATTCGTCCCCTCCGAAGCGTAGACCCTACACAGACTGAATACCAGGGAATGATTGAGGTCATGGAGGATGGTAAGCAGCAAGTCTTACCTGGCGTTTTCTAACCATTGTGTGGTTAAGATTCAGTTTTAATGAACCTGCTCTTTGCACTTGATGTGTCTTAATTGAGCTTGTTCTGCCTTCTCTCCACTAGGGGAGATGAAAGGGGAGTTTTATCCATTTGGAATTGTTGGGATGGCAAACAAGGGTGACTGCCTGCAGAAGGGTGAAACGGTCAAGTTCCAGCTCTGCGTCCTTGGTCAGAATGGGCAGACAATGGCTGTGAACATTGCACCTTTCCGGAGGGCCACTGTGGAGTGTGTGAAAGATCAGGTTTGTGTAATGCTTTCCCTTCAGATGAGACTTGAGTATCTGTCAAATTGCCTGCATTGGTAATAGTCAGATGGAAACCTGGTTCGAACATTTTATAAAGCTGAAATACTGTTGAGATTTTTCCTTTTTTAAAAGGAAAAATGTATAGGGGATAAAGGATGTGCATGCCATGTGCCCAGTCATAGTTCCCCACGGCAGGAGCCACGAGGTCCTGCTTTTTTGCCCTTGGTGACTCCAACTCCAAAGTACCGTTAAATCCAACATTCTGTGATGTTTTGCTATGGGGCTCAAGTGACGAGGATGGTACAATAATCGGAAATTCCCTACGTGACAGACTGACTCTAGGGGGAGGGCAGCCTCTGTCTTGGAGAAATACAGGAATTACAGTTCCAAATTGGAACAAATGGTGTAATTAGTCAACTTTTTAAATTTTGTTTCTGCTTGTCCCATAGTGGACAGAGGTAAACAAATGTGTGTTTTGGCTAAGAGAGAAGTTCCTTTCATCACGCAGTTAAGGGTTTTGGAAGTAGAAGGACTAATCTGTTCAGGTCAGCTGGTGTATAACCTTTGCTAAATTAGAACTGGGGAAAGGTGTAAACATTGGGGAATGAACTGTCCCAAGATACATACATAATCTGGGAGGGGGGAACACGGGCAGCAGACTTGGTTTATTTTACTGGGTGTTCACATTTTTCTTGCGTGAACAGGAATTTTATACCACACACTTTAGATATGTCGCTTATCTCACCTTTGGACCTTTTGTTTCTTCTTTTTGCCCCCCGATTTTAAGGAATGATTGGAATTGGACACAGGCTCGTGTGAGACATGTTTGCTGCAGAAAGTTGAGAGTATGGTCAGCATTAGGCCAGCGTGTTCAAAGACTGATGTATTGACTTAGGATTCCAAGCCCACACAAAGGCCAAATGCACCAGCCCCTAGCAGCTTTCACAAATTTGTTGTTCCTGAAGTGTCTAAATATGGTTGGGAAGTGTGCTAGGAATTCTTTTATTTTTAAATTTTGTCCATATTTTCTATCCCTCTGCACTCCTGTTTTGTTTATAGGTTATAAGTGAATATGCTAGTACACTTCAAGTCCTGTGAATTAATGTGAATTCTCTTGTTTCAGTTTGGCTTCATTAACTATGAAGTTGGTGACAGCAAAAAGCTGTTTTTTCATGTCAAAGAAGTTCAAGATGGTGTGGAGCTACAGGCTGGGGATGAAGTGGAGTTCTCTGTGATCCTGAATCAGCGCACAGGGAAATGCAGTGCCTGTAATGTGTGGCGAGTCTGGTGAGGACCTGAAATTACCTGGTGTAACTGAGAGCAGTTTTAAGTAGTCGGTCTCTATGGCAATAACAAAATGCCCATGCTTTCCTGGTTGTAAGAAGACATTGTATAAAAGCAAATGAGGCTAGTGATACTATTTACTGGCATCACTGGTAGGTGGCTGCTTCCTGCATTATGAAACCCATCATGTATGTGTGCAGACGGCGGCATTTCCTGCTCGTCGGTGTAGGAATTCTTTTTACGTGACAAACGTGAAGGTGAACAAATAGCAAAGTAAAGGATGACATTGGAGCAGGCAGTCTTTAAAGGAACAGACTGAGTTGCTGTGCCAGACTCCTAGCTCTTGAATCATGGTTGGAATTATATATTTGTTGTTGAATAATTAACATGTGCTTCCTCGAAGGACCCAAAGTGAAAGTGTCACTTGACACCAACTCCTATGGACCTACCTGACGGTGAGTGGAAAGAGGTTGATGAACACATGCAGCACATTCAGCAGTTACAGAGAGTTTGCTGAATAACAGAAAAAAACTTTTTTTTTTTTTCTTCCTTTACTTTGCTATTTGTCACGTACAAAGAATTCCTACACCAGTGAGCAGGAAATGCCACTGTTTGCACACCTACATGATAGGTTTGATAGTGCAGGAAGCAGCCACCTACCAGTTATATATATATTTGCTGTTATTCCACAAACTCACTGTAACTGCTGAATGTACTGCATGTGTACATCAACCTCTTTCCACTTGCTGTCGGGTAGCTCCATAGAGTAGGTGTCAAATGACACACGTTCACTTTGAGTCTTTCTCGAGGGAGCACACGTGTTAATTTGGGAAAGAAGTGCTTTTGCCTGAAGTGACTAGAAAGTGGAGAAATAGAAGAAAAATGTATGGGGGGGTGGGGAATGCAGCGTGGGCAAATGACATGCAGGATAACCATGCTGACCTCAGGATACAGATTTTTAGCTGAACAGCCTGCTCCAGTTTTGAGTTAAACTATTAATTTTTTTTTTTTTTTTTAAAAGCCCTTTTACTGTGGTAGCTAAGTACCTAAGGCTTTTACAGCCATGAGAACCTCCACAAGCAAAACAAGTGAGAAAACAACCTTGTATTGGAGTGAGAACTAGTCAGCCTTTGGGTTCATCAGGCTTTGTGCACCTGAGAGGAGGACTACAGCCATTTTGTGGAATGCTTAACCCAGCAACAGTCAGCAAGATCCTCCCTAGGTATTCTCAAGCACACATTACCAAGGGTTTGATGGCTGCTCCAGGTAACTGGCTTTATTTTCTCTTACAGTGAAGGCGCTAAGGCTGTTGCTGCTCCACGTCCTGATAGACTTGTTAACCGTCTGAAGAGCATTAATGTGGATGATGCCAGTGCTCCTCGCCTAACAGTCCTTCGTCAGCCAAGGGGACCTGATAACTCAAAGGTATATTAACCTGGCGTGCCGTATTGCTTAACCAGTACACAAGACATCTAAACATTGTGATCTTGAGTCTTTCGTTGGAAGTCCAGATAATGTTTTCCTTTTGATTCACGTGAGATCAGATTCTTCTGGTTGGAGGTGTACCTGTGTACTTCCATGCCTGGAGCAGGAGCAGACTTCATTGCCAGCAGGAAAAAAAGTTCTGTCATCTTCAAGTTGAGCCACTTCCTGACAGTGGAGTGGATGTGTCCCTCGGGGAAATCACGCTGCTAGTCAGGCTTTCAGATCTTGGTAGGAGACACCCTGTCAAACAATTACTAAAGTGCAAGAGATGAAGAACAAGGGTTTCTCACAAGTGGAGCTGTCAATCAGTTGGTAGGCTATTTGCCACACACAGTGAGGAATTTCAAAGCCTCTGGGGTCTCTGACTAGAATCTCATGGATGTAGAGATTGTAATAATAGGAATTGGGCAGGAGGGTGTTCCAAGGGTTCTGAAGAACCTGGAGCAGGACCCAAGACAGATTGTGATAGCCTTGGCGTGGATCAGGCATTTCTAATATTCTAAACTGATGAGTCTCTTGGCACTGTCTGATGTGACAATGCACTAGGGCCTAGCTTCCTGAAAAATCAGGCTGCCTGAATGGTGGAGCTAAAAATACTGCTCCCAAAGGAGGAAATCTTCCATCTGACTCGGCTTTAAAAGTGGAAGAGCTTTTCCCCCTCCTCCCTTCCTCCCCCTTCAAGACCCTCACCTTTCTGCAACATGAACATCGTTTTAAGAGTTGGTGGGTCCTTCCAGTGAGCCTTTTGCCGCCTAGAAATGAAGATGGCCTTCCTTAACAGCCATTGCATCGGCCCAAAGGATATTGAGGTCTTTTCGTGTCAGGTTCCTCCTGATTTAGGTTTTTGAGGGTGGACTTATTCTTGAGGCTTATCCCAAGTTTCTGTCCATGTGGTATCACCAGCATAAAATAACTCCTCAGTCCTCTTGTCAAAGCATAACTCAGTCCAAAGGGAAACAACTCCACATACCTGACTGCAGTATGCAGAAGTTTTGATTAAGGGGAGGAAGCCTTTTGGAATATACTTAGACTGGCCTTTGCAAAGGATCAAGCAGTATTCTTGCAGATGATGTTTTGATGTCAGTGTCCAGCAGTATAAAAATGTGCCGTAGCAGGGTTAGCTCTACCTGGTGTTTGGCTCATTCTCCTAGAGCTTGAGCAGCAGTAGTCCTGTTCCTTAAATCTGCAAGTTGTCTGTGTGGTGCTCAGTACAGCTGTTCGCCAGATGCATCTTAACAGATTTACTGACCAAGCTTCCATCTTGGAAGGGTTGTCATGCAGACATCACCTGTGTGTGTCTGTGCTCTGTTGCCCACACACACCAACAGAGCAGAGCTGCTTTATTCATCAGGAGGGAGACTCCACCTGGACTGTCACTCTAAATGCCTTTGTAAATTCCCTACCTGGGGGTGTGAAGTAGGGTTATAAAAGCACTGGGACTGGATGTTGTTAACCCTAAGAGTCTGATCCCAGTTGTACAAGATGTACGTGCCTCACAGCTCAAAGAAGAGTGGGTGGTATAATAGTAGGTAACTGGTCTTTCCCTGAGTGGTCTGTTGTTTAGTACGGACTAAGATTAACCCTGTCCTGTAGAATCTGTTAATCCAAAACAAGGAAGTAAAAAATAGGGTTATATGCTGAATAATGGCAGCAGAATGTGCTCCCATGCGTGTAACGAGTGATGGGTGACCAGGGCACAAGAATAGTGACTGCTGCTGGCCCGGCCCAGCCCAGCCCTGGAACCCAGGACACAGACTGGGGTTGTAGTGCCTCTGCACCCACGTTGCCTTCTGTCACAGTTACTCCAGACTTCAGGCTGTAGAGACTGACCTCTCTCAGCACCATAGCTGCAGCATCCTTCCAACACTCTCAGTTGGCAAGCAGTAGGAACTACCTTTTAGGCATGACAGCAACTTCTAAAAGACTGTGTTACAGCTTGCTCTCATGGTTGTAGTGTTCAGTAACACATACTGGTAAAACTAACAAAGTTTTCTGTTGTTGCAGGGATTTGGTGCAGAGAGAAAGATCCGTCAAGCTGGTGTTATAGACTAACGGATTCCACAAAGCACATATAATGAAGTACGATCAAGTGGTGGGGGCTGGTGAAGGGTACTGAATATCTTCCTGTTCATCCCTTCTAAATTCTAAGATGCTATTACACCAGTTTTAACACCTCATGTTATGTTTAAAAAAATAAATTTATGAAACCATTTTAAAATTATGCACAGTTGCATCCTGGAGAACTTAAGGTGGCGCCTTATAGTATCACATTTTAGAAGCTTTTTTTTTTTTTTTTTTAATTTTTTTTGTTTGTTTGTTTGTTTGTTTGTTTTTTTTGAATGGTGCATTTAACGCAACTGGTAACTGCAAATCTACATTGCCTATGTAAGTAAACATTATAGACAGTCCTACTCTGATAGACCTTATGGAATTCTGCACTAAAAGTGCATATGCTCTACCTTCATTAATTTGGCCAAGGTGTTTTTATGCCTTAGCTCTCAGTTGTTATCTTCCTTTCCAAAGGGGGAGGAGGTTTGCTTCTCATTCATTCTGCTCTAATTCTGAGGACCATATGAGGGTGGAATATATTGACTTTTTTTATATATATAAAAATCTGTATGAGAATTCAGATAATTTCCTTAAGTTTGATGGCCAAATGTTACACTGTTTTTCATATCTCATTTAAACTCGAGTCCATTCAGCAAGCAGAGTTTTGTTAGATCTCAATGAAAGCCTCTTCCAGAGTAGACCTAACTTTTTTTGTAACTTTCTGCAGAATTTCATAAGGCCGAGGTGTGCCATCAGTGTGGTAACTTAAATATATTTAAAAACAATGCACAAATCTGCTGCTGCTTAGAACACTGCAGCTTCTAAACCCAGTTTCTTTTACTGATTTAAACTTAAAAGTTGTGCCTGATGTGAATACATTTTTTTTTCTTTTTTGCAGCTGGCACCAGTGTACTGTAAAAGAATAAATACTTAGGCTTTCCATAGCTGTATTGAGACTTTCATCAAGGTGAAATAGTTGATGTCTGTGTGCTTTATTTTTTTTATTATTATTATTATTATTATTATTTTTGTCCTTCCCACCCACTCCCATCTTCCCAGTCACACTTTATCAAGTGAGAAACTGATTTGGTCTAAGTATCAATTTAACCAAAAAGATCAAGATTTATTTTCTTTGAATAGAGGGCAGTACTGTGTGTGTTGGACTTTTTTTTTTTGGTTTTTTTTTTTTTTGGTTCCCCCACGTTCCCTCTATTCTCAATTTAGGGTTTTCTTCTCTGGGAGACGCGTTCTCTTTGTAAAAACAAACATTGCTTTCTCCGAGTTTTCTGTTAACGGCGAAGAATGGAAATAGAATAAAGTTTTACTGATTTTGGAAAAAGCCTCCACTGTGGTCCAGTCTCCTTCTTCCTGCGGGGCCGGGCCGTGGGGGCCGGCTCCGCTCTGCCGGGGAGAGGGGGGGTGAGCCGGAAGCGGCTACGGCACGTGCAGCGCCCCTCACCGCGCACTTCCGGCGCGCCGTGATGACGCGCCGAGGCGGAAGCCGGAAGCGCGCTTCGCCGGCGGGGCCGGGGGCCATGACCGAGTACAAGCTGGTGGTGGTGGGCGCAGGCGGTGTGGGCAAGAGCGCGCTCACCATCCAGCTCATCCAGAACCACTTCGTGGACGAGTACGACCCCACCATCGAGGTGAGCCGGAGGGGGCTGGGCCGGGCCGGGCCGGGCCGGGCTGGGGGAGGGGG